CTGTTCAGAGTGTTGTTACTATTCTTATCTTTGATCTCCTGTTGAGTTCGTAGGTGTTCAGAATGGTTTGTTTTAGCATCTTTTTAAACTCCTTTCCCACTTTCATTCTGTTCCCCTCAGCCAGTTTCGTCTCCCTGATTCACTTCCATACTGGACGGTTCCCATTGGCCTCTCCAGAGCCACCCTCAGTATGCCAGGCACGGATCCAAGTGCTTAATATGTCTTAGCTTGTGTCATTTTCCTAATAATCCTATGAGGTATATGCTATTAATACCCACATTTTACACTTTACAGAGGAGGTAGTGGAGGCATGTAGCCATTAGTAACTAGCCCAAACCACAGTGTTTTAAGCAATAAAGAATGAGATTATCCCTTCTGCACCTTTATTCCTGCTGAGTCTGAATTCCTTCCTCTCCCATCTCTACTCGTCTGCATCCTCATCATTGTCCAGGATCCCAGATTCTACCTCCTTCAGGGAGTCTTCTGCAGTCATGCTAGCCAGCACTCTCTTTGACTTCTTCTTTAACTCCCATTGCACCTAGAATTACTACAGCATGGCTTATTCCTTCATTTATTCTCTGACTGAATTATCAACCCCTCCGAAACCAGAGACCACCCTGCAGGATTTGACTATCTTCTCCTTGTCATGTAGAATACTTTTTAGACTATAGTGATAACGCTTTTGTTGTATTCCTGTTTTTCACTTTTATGCACAGGATTTCTACTGCACAGAATTCCAAGAAGTCATCAGGTGACACAGTCACTCACCTTAGAGACCAACTCTGGAGTTACAGGCTTAACAGAATCTGTATTGATGTGTTTGCCCAGCATTGTGCCATACTAGATACTCAATAAGTATTTGTGCAGTGACTGTTAGACATTTAAAAATCTTTCAACTGATTGATTTGATTTCAGTGTTAATTGTTCAGAACCAAGTAAATATGTGTACCTTAAATTCTGTAAGAGAAAATAATGTCTTTAAAATATCAGAAAACGGAGATGAAGTAAATGCTCCTCTAATGCTTGTGATCTTGCTGTGTTTAGGGAATCCCTTTGTTAGAAGAAACATAGAATGATCAGGGTTTTTATTTGGGTCAAAGAGTAATTTTAATTGTACTCTTTGAAACAATAAAATATCTGGGTGGCAAGAACCCAAACCAAGGTGAATGGCTTCTCTATGAAATGTCCCAGAGCAGTCATGCCTAAGTTCCCTACAGAGTCCGGTATACTGAGAAATGCTTTGTAAGCCCAGGACTTATTCTGTTGTGAACAGACAGGTGTTTACTTGTTCAAGACGACTTGTGGCTGTCTTTTAAAAGACCAGTTCTCTGTTTCTGTTGTTTAGGTGATCTGTTCGGGCCTTGATAGCCGCGCTTTGCCCCTTTCTTTCTTATTTGTGCAGAGAACACGGCTCTCAGTGTATTGTGCCCGCAGAGACACAGGGAAGCTTCTGTCATCAATGCTACGTGTCGTCACATAGTTGTGCAACTCATTTATGTTGTCAAGTTTAAAGTAATAATGGGAACCCGTGTGTTCCCAATAATATGTGATGTAACACAGAGCTGGCTTTCATTTTACCTTTCAGGTGACTTCAGAACGTACCTCTTCTAGTTTGCAGATGTTAAGGCTTTAGTCAAAAGCAGCACAGAACTTTATTTCCAAAACTGTGTAATTTGTATGTGTTCTGAGCCTGACTTTTTACATGTGGTTTGATTATAGATGGCTTTGGGACAATTTTTCTTGCCTGAGTGGGGGAAGGTAGAGAGAGATCAGAAGTGAAGATAGAGGGGTGCCTCGGTGGCTCAGTCGGTTGAGCATCTGCCTTCAGCTCGGGTCATGATCCCAGGGTCCTGGGATCACCCTGAGTCGGGCTCCCTGTTCAGCGGGGAGTCTGTTTCTCCCTCTGCCTTTTCCCCTCCCCACACACCCTTCCCACCCCTGCTCTTCCTCTCTCAAGTAAATAAATAAAATCTTTAAAAAAAACTTATTACTTATTTGGAGAAAGAGAGAGCCCAAGCAGGGGGAAAGGGACAGAGGGAGAGGGAGAAGCAGACTCCCCACTGAGCAGGGAGCCCGACTCGGGGCCTGATCCCAGGGCCCGGAGATCATGACCTGAGCCGAAGGCAGATGTTCAACCGACTGAGCCACCCAGGCATCCCCAGTAAATAAAATCTTTAAAAAAAAAAAAAAAGCGAAGATAGATAGTACATCCATTCACTTACTCCATGAATATTATTTTCGGGTCTGCTGTTTGACAAGCACTGTGATTAACCAAAGAGTCAGGGTGCGAGAGAGACCGTTAACAAGAACATATATTAATAAAGTTTGATGAGTGCTATGAAGAAAAGAAACATGGTATAAATAACTAATGGGTAGACTTGGTCAGGGTCCTCCTTTCCGAGGGGACATTAAACTGAAGCCTGCAGGCTGACGACATCTGTCCTAAGGGCCAGAGGCGCCGGGCCCAGGAAAGCTGGCACAGAATACACATTTTCAGTGAAGGACTGGATGGTTCTAAAAATTGAGGTTAGAAGTCATGATTCCTATGGCTCTTGCTGTTCATGTGTCACAGCTTCACTGCCCCGCTCCTTAAAAGCCAAGATCAATTCCCAGGCAGTAGGATACAACAAAGTCCGACCTGGTCTTTGATATTCAAACACAGGATATCACAATCTTTTCTTTAATACCAGTGTTTAACCCCCTCCATTTGAACTTCAGGGCAAACGACTAGAAAAGGAAGAACCTGGAAAAGCTGTCAGGGTATTTTCTGCAATAGGCATCAGAAGACTCGACTACCAGTAGATTAAATGCTCCTGGTTTATTGATCTACATAACAAGTGTGGGGGCAGGGGGCTCCACGGGTAGGTCACCCATGTCCCAGAAACATCATCAGGGCTCCGGGGTCTCTGTCTTTCCAAGCTGCCACCATCAGCATGTTGCAGGTTCTCCCCTTATGCTCAGTGTGGGTGCGGCAGTTTGGGGCATTTTGACACAGTGGTAGCCAGTAAAAGAAGGGGGGCATTTCTTCCTGCGTGTTGTTTGTAGAGGCGAGAAATGTTTAACTGGAGCACCTCCCCCTTGCCCCCATCTCAGCAGCAAGGCTCCATCACATGCCTCTAGCCACACAAACCACTGTCCACGGGATTGAGACCACTCAACTTAGGTCAGTCACCCCTGAGTTTGGGGAGGGGGTCACCTTCTCTAAGCACATTGGAGGGTGAACAACCCACAAAATCAGGGGAGGTTCAGCAAGGAAACAGGAACGGATGGGAGGGGCACAGGCCTCAGGACTCCACGGCATTAACTGCTGAGGGCGGAGTGCACCGCAGTTTCGGGATGTTCTGTTTTCTCTTGCCAGTGTAGTGACTGTCTTGCTCCCTATATTTTTGGGTAAAATGGTGAGAAGCAGAGAGTTTGATGAACTTTGGTGTTAATTTACGTCCCCAGCCTTACTAGGGCTTTCTACCTTATCAGTGATGGGGTATCCAGCACATGGTGCCTTGACACATTTGCAGTAAACCGTTCTTTTAACTTAAATTGTCTTATTATAAAACATATAAATAAGGAAACATATACAAGGTATATGTATAGTTTAAAAGAATATAATAAAAATCATGCCTGTTTCTAGGACCTTTGAAGGCTTCCTATGTCACCCTCCCCAGTCACGTCCAGAACTGCCCCCCCAAGAGATAACCACTACCCTGAATTTCTGAGTTAATCCTTCTCTTGTCTTAATATGTTTCCCTAAGTTTATTTCTCGAACTTTTTTTATGTATCAGAATCACCTAGAGGACTTGTGAAAACACAGATTGCTGGACCCTAACCCGAGTTTCTGATTCAGTAGGTCTGCAGTGAGTCCAAAAATCTGCATTCCTAACAGTTTCTCAGGTGATGTGGGTGCCACTGGTCCAAGGCCCACCCTTTAAGAACCTCTACCCTGGCAGAAGATTGCTTAGCTTTTGTCTGTTGATAAACGGGAGCGTGTTTTATGTATTCTTTAACTTGGCTTTTTTAAACTTGACATTACGTCTTTGAAATTCAACTTGGGCGATATGGGTAGCTACAGGTCATTCATTTTCACTACCATATAGTATATTCTATTTCTCTTGAATCTTTACCCACAGCCCTATGAGGGAAAAGGAAGGGAAGTAGGAAGCAAATTGCTTAAGGCACCAACAAAAGTGACTGCCCACCCATCAAGCATCCAGCACCAGTGACCCCTGGCTCACATGGCCCGGGGCATTGTTGCTGCCTTGGGAAAGAAAAGTTCTGAGGTGTCACTTATTTAAGAGCCCCAGGCTCTCCAGGAGGTTTAGGAGGCTTGGGGTGTTGGGGGGTACCAGGCATAGCAGGACCTGCAGACCTTCTAGGGCCCTTTAGCATAAACTAGACCTTTTGTAACATTGGCCTCCTCTAATCAAATCAGGATAGAAGGGAAGATAACAAACAATATTTGCTTCGAATGAGCTAGACACTGTTGTTGAATAAATTGATTGCAAAGGATCAGAAGGCCTGAACTTACGAAAGTATGAAAGAAATAATGTTCTCTCTCAAATCTTCTCAGTAGCCATTATGGTATCTATGTTTATACTTATTTACAAGAAATGTTAAGAAACTTGCCCAAAGTCACAAACCTAATACCAGGCAGAGCCAGATTTTAACCCCAGCTGTGATTACAAATCACATTGTGTTTTCACTTTACATTGCTGCCTCCCTGGGACTAAAACACAAGCCTTCCCTGTTCTTGGCATTTGTCTAACTACTGAGACACACTCCCTAAAGTATGTCCACTTTCTCTGAAAACTGGTTCCAGTTAGTGTTACCCAAACAGCGAAACCAGCTTTCATGGTTTTTTCCATAATTAATGGGAATAGATATAGCATTACAAAAGAGTGGGCATTGACATTGACACATTGTACTGTCTTTGTTGGACTTGAATGTTTGACTTGGATTTATGTGCCTGACAAGTGACTCCATTGCCTTGTGCTTTTGTCCTGCAGGGGATTTCCAAAGAAGGCCAACAGAACTGCTAGAATAGCTTCTGATGAGGAGATTCAAGGCACAAAGGATGCTGTCATTCAAGACCTGGAACGAAAACTTCGCTTCAAGGAGGACCTCCTGAACAATGGCCAGCCGGTACACAGAGATGGATTTGGGGCCTGAACTTGGAATATTAGCTGCCCACATCAGAGAGCTCTTCCTTCACTTTGGTTCTTGTACTTTGTCCACAAAATTGATTTCATTACCCCTAAATCTGTGTTCTTCTTAGCATTATGGCCTGAATCTGGGGGAAAGGGGGAAAAGTGGAAAGGCTTCCCTCTACTTGGCCTCCACTCTTTCCTGCATTCTTGGAGTGAAGTTAGCAAGTTGGAGATAAAGAGGAAGGGCTGATTTTACGGTGGGGAGTAAGACAAATGAGGAATTGCAGCATTACAAAGAAAAAGGAACAAATCTGCGCTGGGTAGGAGGGGGAAGGTATGCTCTGGAATGATCTATATCTACCACAAGTACCAAAAGGAGAATGTGGATTCTCCGGCATGTACTCCTTCTATACAAAGACTATCTTTACTGAGGAAACGGCCCCTGAAGTCCAGTACTGTTCTGGTAGACCATTACTAGATACTGATTCGGTAATCTGAAAGGGTAACGCTTGTTTCACGGTATTGTTCTGCTATCTGTACGGTAGATCTGGTAAACAATATATGTGTAGAAGATGTTTTCACCATCGGACTTAAATGTTTCCTCACCAGTTGTTTCTCGTTTTTTACCGACCCTTCCTCTTACTACATCCGAGTATTTTTAAGGGGACAGGAAGTCTCACAAATAAGATTTCCCAGGTGAAGAAAAGGAGCCTTTGGTGGCTTTATTTTGGAATTATCACCAGAAAAATTGGTCCGGCTCTTAAGTAGAAGAAGAAAAGGGCCTCTTTGTATAAAAGCTCCCTCTCAGATACCTTTTTCAGAGTAGAAAGCACTCTGTGTTAAATATGTTTTCTAGGAATTTTAATTCTCACACATTGATAAATAAAAATGTGAGAACAGAGCATGTTCGATTGGAAAGGTGGAGGGTAGAGGAGGGGTCCTGAATGCTGCTTTTAATTATTAGGGCATCCTAATCTGAGTTCACGAAGATTAAAATTCTAATGAGATCTTGTGTTGGTCATTCATTTCATTGAGAACAGAAGATTTTCACAAAGGGAAAATATTTTTCTCCCTGAAATAAGTAATTGCATGTGTAAATGTGCATACTCTGGAAGTTTCCCCTGGCTCTGTCAACTAAAGCCTTTGAAAGATTAAAACAAATACTTATGGGAACTTACTCAAGGCAAGTAGAGACATTTCTCCAGTTTTTTGGGGTTTTTTGGGTCTCTTTTTAAATGTTCCTTATGGACTAAGATTCTCTTGGTTAAAGAGACTTTAAGCTGTTAGAGCATACTAGGTATATTATATGTTTATCGATCTGTTTAGCAGCAAACGACATTCACAACAAGTTCCATAGATTTCTGCATTTGAGAGTTTAAAAGGACAACTTTTTCCTAGTGTTGCATATTATTCTGTTACTTATTTTTGGCTTCTGTAGACAGGGCTTGGATATCCACATGGCCTAGTGGTTTAGAAACAAAACTGAAGTAAATTTGGCTTTTACTGGTAGCAGGTGCATTCTGGCAAAGGACTAGGTATCAAATTGATATTTCTGCTTATAAGGAAAAGGGTGGTCATTACTCCAGTCCTACCTTTGATGTTGATGCAGTTCTCCACGAAAACATTAGGAAGGCTTTTAAGAGAGCAGGTATTTAAAACTCTTTTTGAAAATTGAATTCAGTGATTCTTTAACAGATGTGAGAAAATTAATTTTAATAACAACATACTTGGACTGAGACAGTCCATGCACCAAACACCTACCTTGTCATATCCCCACCCCTTCTTTACTAAATACTATGAACTTTAGGACTATTTGTCATTTGGCACTGACTTGTTTCACTTCCCGGTTTCAGCTGGGACTAGAACCAGCAATTACTGGAAATTGTAAATTTATTCAACATATTTTCCTGATTAGAGAGTTTCCAATAGAATTTGTATCTATGTTCAGAAGTTGGGAAGTTTACTGAAGTAACTTCTGTATTTTTTTAAGATTCTGCCTTACTAATTATTCCCTATTTTGAATCAAACACTTGTTTATGGGACAGAGGGTCTCTGAAAGTTCTTCCCAGACCTGTAATTCTAAGGCATTTTAGAACCAAAATTCAAAGGCAGGAAACAGCCCAACAGACAGAACAAAAATGCTGGCATTTCTTCTGTGTAAGAATGGCCCTGCAAATATGTTTTGGCCAAATCTAGAGTCCTGGCTGCTAGATGCAAAAACATTGCCACTTTGCCTGATGGGCAAGCAGGCAGTCTGCCTCTGAGCAGAATCTCGAATTACGGATATTAGCTTTGGCAAGTATCTTTCACAGTCCTTTTGCTAAGTCAGCCATGTGTGACCATTCTTTGTGGACCCTTACATTGGCCTACATTCACCTGCTACACAGCAGCCTAGGAAATGTCCGTAGAGCTGAGAACCCCAAGCAGAGGGGACCCCCGCTGCCCGCTGGTCTAAAACTTCCCTCACCAGAGGCTGGGAGCCCACTAGTCTGGTTTGAAGCTTGTAGATGGCTATGGAAAGACCATTTCCTTTAAAAAAAAAATTTGCTATTTGAATATCTCTTTTCTCTATATGTATCACGAAGGATTAGGACATGACAGCTATTTTCTGTGCGGCTTCTGCCTTGTTTGGTTATTATATTCACCTTGAATTTGGGCTGCACCAGTTGGTGGCCCCCAACGCTGGATTAAGCCACTAAGACCGGAAGGGGAGGTGACAGAACACCAGAAGGAAGGGAAAGAAACAGACCCCTTTTACATACAGGCATCTGAAGGTTGAGAGAAAATAGTTACAGAAAACACCAAAACTCATTTTTTAAAATTCCTTATCGTGAGGCAGTATGTAATTGTGAATTTTCTAACTTTGTAATTTTTGTGACTTACTTTGCTCAGAGGCTAACCTATGAAGAGAGAATGGCTCGTCGACTGCTAGGTGCTGACAGTGCAGCTGTCTTTAATATTCAGGAGCCAGAGGAGGAAACAGCTAATCAGGTACTGTGTTCCTCTGGACTAATTAGAGAAATAGTAATTATTCTGTCCCCTCTGCCCATCCTCTTTATGGACACTCTTCTTGGGATCAGTTCTGTGGGACGTAGAGGGCAAGTCAAAGAAAAGCAGTATTAATATCACCAGTCACGCTCACAGCTAATATTTACTGAGCACATAGCATGTGCCAGACAGGGGTGTTAAGTGATTGATAAGAGTTATTTCAGTCAGTGATACCTGTTCTTTTTATCTTCTTACTGATCAGTTTAGTCTCCTTTTAAGTATCGTTCTGATTTTCCCATCCTGTGTTTTAATGCAAAACCGCTTCTGGGGAGAAACATATTTTCACTGAAACTGTGCGAAATAGGTAGTGAATATTTCCAATTATGTTCTTAACATCTAGTCAAAGTAAAATATCTGTGTATAGAAAAAAATGATGTCTTTCTTTTCCTTCACATATACAGTTAGAAATCACTAATCAGCAGAAAACTTAAATGGCTATTTTTGTTCCCCTGGTGCCGCCAAAAAAAATCCCTTCACGGATTTGATGTAAGCTGTTTTATAATCTCCACTGCTTCTGCTTGGAGTTTCCAGATGTAGTCTCAAGATTAAAGGAAGCTTTTTAAAACAAAGGATCAAGAAAAATCTCAGAGATGTTGAGAAATACCTCTGCCTTCAATATCTGAAGATTTTTCTGTGTTAAATATTGCTGCCACAAAAATTTCACTTCAGAAAGAAAACTAGAAATCTTGCTAGATTCTTATTTCTGTTACTAGTCTTCACTTCTTTTTTTCTACCATTACAGGAAATTGGGTCTCCTCATGCTTCTGTAGGGAGTCCTCTGGACGGTCAAAAGGTTAAGCTATTCACCTTTCTTCTCCTTCTGGTCTTTCACTGTATCTGTTTTCTTGTGTTCTTCCTCGTTTACCTGTGTATCTGTCTTGACTGCCATATATTAATTACAAATACTGTGACCAGTGTCTGTTTTAATACCAGATGAACAGAATTACTGTAGTGTGCTTTTTGTCGTATATTATAAACTTGGATTCTGTTACTAGTGAATACTCTGAACTGTAAATTGTTAAAAGTTTCTCATTTGTTACACCTTTCTGGGGGGAAACGCGCTGATTCTTAAACTGATTAATTTGATAGTAATTAAAACAAAACAACTCCTGTATTTTTTGCAGTTTTATTCATACTGTTGTATTTCTTCCCTCAAGACAACAAACAGTTCTTTAAAGGTGGGGTAGCTTCTTTATGAGAAAACCTAGTTAAAACATCTTTTATTTGTTACTAAAAACAGTATTTTATAATGGGCTGCCTTGTTTCCATTGTGCTTTTTGTAAGCAAGTGAACTGTAGGATCCCCCTTCATTCATCACCTTAGGATGTTGATGGCTACTCTGCTTTTGTCTTTTTTTTTTAAAGATTTTATTTATTTATTTGAGAGAGAGAATGAGAGAGAGCACATGAGAGGGGGGAGGGTCAGAGGGAGAAGCAGACTCCCTGCTGAGCAGGGAGCCCGATGCGGGACTCGATCCTGGGACTCCAGGATCATGACCTGAGCCGGAGGCAGTCGTTTAACCAACTGAGCCACCCAGGCGCCCCTCTGCTTTTGTCTTTTTAATCAGAATTTTGACTGGACTGTCAATTCCATTTTTCTTTTAAAGAGGGTGGAGAGTAGTTCCTACTAGCTGCAAAGCTGAGGAGGAGTTCAGAGGCTATGTGGCTGAGGATTATTAGGAGTGAAAAAAAATACCATGTTTTCCATTATCCGCTTGCCGAAATGCTCTGTACCCTGCAGCTGCTATAGCCACGCGCACTGCCACCTTTCTGAAGCGTGGCACTGCCCTGCACAGCTTTCACCTACAGAAAGAAACCGGTGTTCCATCGTGTTTTATTTTTATGAACAGTTTAGGACTACAAAGCTGTTGCCTTTTTCTTTCTTTCCCCACACCCCCAAGAGAAAAGAGAAAGAAATTCATCTTCATAGTTTTTTGGGGGGAGGAGGATGATAAGACCTGAAGACAATTTGAAATATCATATATACTTACTTCCAGATGTTTTTTTGTTTTATATGGAATTGAGTTGGGCTCAGACTTGTTTTTAAGTCTCTGGTAAAAAGATCACGGTCTTCTGAGTGCCTCACTGGAGAGGAGAATAAGACTCCTGAGACGCATGGGACCACAGGGGACTGAGGTTGCTAACATGACCTTTTTTTGCCTGATACAGGAATACAAAGTCTCCAGCTGTGAACAGAGACTCATCAGTGAAATCGAGTACAGGCTAGAAAGGTCTCCTGTGGATGAATCAGGTGATGACATTCAATACGGGGACGTGCCTGTGGATAATGGAGTGGCGCCGTTCTTTGAGATGAAGCTGAAACATTACAAGATCTTTGAGGGAATGCCTGTAACTTTCACATGCAGGGTGACTGGGAATCCAAAGCCAAAGGTAAGCTGAAAACATAGCTTTTTAAGAGTCCTGTTTTCTGCGGAAGTTTAGCTTCCAAAACACAGTGTGTATAATAGGAGGAAGAGATACAGACTACCTTTCTCAGGACCCATGATGTAAAATGTTTGAAGTACTATTTAAGTTCAGGGCCTTCCTCAGGAGGCATTAGAAACCAAAAAGAGTAGAAGGGTAGAGTTTGGGTTTGGAGAATAGAAGAGGAGAATAACAATCGCCAAGAGCTTTTCGTACACCTACAGCATTTACTCATGTGCTGTTATCAGTGTCACTTCCAAATTGCAGGTGACTGAACTGAGCTCAGTGAGGTTTGATTAACTTGCCCAAGGTCAGGGAGCTGGTGAGCGGCCAGGCTTGAACACCAACCCCATGCTGTGTATCATACAGAGAAGCAGTGCTTACCATGGATTATAAAAACGTCAGATCTTTAATCTACAAAACCAAAGCTTCCTGTATTTACAAAGGGGCTAGGGGCCAGAATACTGGTGAGAAAGGATATTCAAAGGAACTTCTGATACTCAAGAGGACTAGGCTGACCTAGATGGAAGTTCTCTTCCTACAGACACGTGGAAACAGCTGGATAGAGTTGCCCAGTCTGTAAAGGGAGGCAAGAATAATTGCTCACTAGTCCAGAAAGCAATAAACAGAATTACACTTTTCTCTGGAACTTGGAAGAAAAGAATAAAAAAGGTGCCCATGAGAAATGGAAACTCCACATTTACACTTTCACATGTTATGAAGCGAAAAGCTGCAAAATTAATATGAAATTTAGTCCAGGATGATTAAAATCCTTGTTTCTGGCAGAAGCAAGCAAAAACTGCCCTAGAACACTCTTACAATTTGGGGCATATCAAACTTCGGTAGGTTAAGAGGGAGGAAGAAGAAATTCACAGTAAAAACTTACAAACCATATGAGAAACAAATAAGGAGGATCAGTAGCAAAAGAAACAAGAAAATAGAAGCTCAAGTATTGCACACTACTGAATGGCCTTAAGCAAACTATAAAATAACTATGTTTAAAATGATTGAAACAATTTTAAAAGAAATAGAAACTGGGGGCACCTGGGTGGCTCAGTGGGTTAAGTGTCTGCCTTCAGCTCAGGTCATGATCCCGGGGTCCTGGGATGGAGTCCTGCAGCGGCCTTCCTGCTCAGCGGGGATTCTGCTTTCTCCCTCTGCCCCTCACCCCACTCATGCTTGCTACTCTCTCTGGCTCTCAAATAAATAAATAAAAATCTTTTTAAAAAATAAAAATAAATAGAAGAAATAGAAACTTAACAGGACAGTACCAAAGCCCAAGCAAATTTGTAAAATAAGCATATAGAAATAAAAAATACACTCACTGAAATTAAAAGCTTAACAGTGGTATTACGGAGAAAGAGCAAAGAAAATAGCCTTAAGTTTTCAAATGCATATCTACCTTCTAATAAGATGAGACTTTTATAATAATAAACTGTTAGAGAAAACTTCTTTATTCTAGGCATCATTTGGATAATTGCTCTGTATTCACAAACATACAAATTCATGTACTAAAAAATAAATGTGCAGCTTATGAATGAAACTCAACAAGAAATTGTACGTTAAGCTTCCAAAATCTTCACAAAGATCCCTTGTTATTTTTAAATCTTACTCAAGGCTTAAGGTCATTAATTAAGTTCTAAGATCACTAATTCTTGTTTTAAAGAATGCTGTGTTCACCTGAAAGATGAGCCGTTGTGTTTAACATAACTCTGCTTTTCTAGTAGGAATTTAAATGTTTCACAGCTGTCAGAGGCTTAATTTTTTAAGAATTTTTATTGTCTTCTTTCCCCGTCCTCCCTCCTGTCCTCACTGTGGTTCTTTTTCTTCCACACGTGGTATATAAATTACATTAGGACTATTAAAGTATGGGATATTCATCATGTCTAAAAAAGTTACATCCTTTTTTTTGCTTTTTTTTCCCATTGTATTCTGCCCTTGACATGCTTGTTCCATATGGAAACATGAGAAGACGGGAAAGAATTTCTAATTCACCCTGTTTTCATCACTTGTACCCTCCCCTTCCCTCTGATTAGCAGTCTCGGTAAAATTGTTGGAACTACTTCTTCTTAATTCTCATTTGAAAGTCGTATTCCAAGTACAATGAAGGTGAGAAGTATGATTAAAGGAAAGAAACAAGTCTGAAGAACTGGCGTGGCAAGAATGCAAAAGGAAGAAACTGTATACTAATCACAGCTTCTTCCATCAGAAAACAAAACCACCAAGAAGAGAATGATAATTATGAAATATCATGCTTTATCTAATTTAATTTTTAGAACTCAGAGTTATGAGTCTAGTTGATGATCCATTTTTAGATTCTGGAGATTAATAATACAGTCTGTAAATTCAGAGCTAATTGAAAAAATAGGGGTTGGAAAAGTTTCAGCACTCAGATCCCAATTATTCATGCGCTTATTTAGTGCTATTTACTTCTAGCTGTTCCTTTCTTAAAATATAAGTTTCAAAAAGATTTTTCAGATTCAGAGGCTTTCATAGAAAGTTGAATTTGAGTGCCAGTTGTGGTCTCAATTTGCATATGGATTTACATTAAGGAAGAAGTGCATTTTAAAAACTGAAGGTTCTAAAGTAGGTTTCTTCTGTTAGGAATGAGTTAGGAATGCTTTAGGATGCCAGGAACAACAGCTGACGACAAAGAACTTGTTGCGGCTTTAGAAAGGGGGATTTGTTTAGTTCCCTAACCGTTAAGTCTGAAGGTGGGTTGATGCAGGCATTGGTTCAGCATCTCAGTCATGTGAGGGCCGCTGGCCCTGTGATTCATTATTATGGCCCCATGTCTCCGCTGTCAGAAATAATAACTAAATCATGAGGGATCCGTGGACCAGTGATTTTATTTAAAGATCAGGGAAGGTGGTAGGACCTGCGAAAGAGGTAGTTTGACCATTTTAAAATGTGTTATTTAGTTCAGATTTATTTTTACTTTATTCTTCACATTTAATTTTCTATTAAACCAAGTTAAAATATTATGGAAAATTATTGTAAGTTTAAATACTACTGTGTTTTCTTTAACAGAGTGGGGAGAGTGGACAAACTTTTTTATAATTTTTTTTAAAGACTTTATTTGACACAGAGAGAGAGATAGAGCACAAGCAGGGGGAGCGGCAGACGGAGGGAGAAGCAGGCTCCCCACTGAGCAGGGAGCCCGAAGCAGGACTCGATCCCAGGACCCCGGGATCATGACCTGAGCCGAAGGCAGATGCTTAACCGACTGAGCCACCCAGGTGCCCCCTTTGAGCATATGCTCCTTGGCCCAGAGTTAAAGCAGTAGAGCTCACCCATCACCAACCCCTTACTGTTGCTCCTTCCTCACTGCCGTTTGGTCTAACACAATTCAGCAGAATGGTTAGAGTTGGGGTCTGTTATTCTCTAAAATAACCTTTTTACCTTCTTCCCTTTGCTTTACAAGTAACACATTTTACTTCAGTGCATTTCATTCAGTACATTTGAAAATAGAAGCAAAAGGAAAAATGCCTGTAGAGCCACCCTAGAACTAACCACTGTCCACGTTCAATATAGATCCCTCCATATAAATAATATGTAAAAAGTATGTGAATAATGTGAATACGTATACACATTTTAAAATTAAAAAAAAGATATATAATTTTTAAAAACTAAAATAGAATTAAACCTGTTTGTTGCCTAGTTTTTTCACTCAAAAATCAATTTCCTATTAAGATGTTCTGTTTAACACATTTTAACATGAAAACTCCGATCAGCTCTGCAGGCCACACCATTAGTATTTACCAATCCCCCTAATAGAGTAGTACTACACACATCCTTAATCTTCATCACTGTTTGCTCTCACAGATCTATTGGTTTAAAGATGGGAAGCAGATCTCTCCAAAGAATGATCACTACACCATTCAAAGAGATCTTGACGGGACCTGCTCTCTCCACACCACGGCCTCCACCCTAGATGATGATGGCAATTACACAATTATGGCTGCAAACCCTCAGGTAAAGATTAAGGGTATAGGTCTGGCTTCAGTTCTGTGCGTAGTGCTTACAGGCATTTATTTGGAGAAAGGAACTGTTTAATTAAAAGGTGGAATCATGTTTCTTTGACCTGAAACTATCTCCCCAAATTCTATATCCATTTTGGTTTCGGAGGATAGAAAAATTCTTTGTTTCATTAGTATTTACTTATTCCATCAGGTGTTTTTCACATGAACAATTCCAGTGCAGATGTGTATTCGTCCTGCAAATCTTAATCAGTGCCTAAAAGGTACACTTCTTAGGCCAGTGGTGGGGTTGCAGTGGTGGCCAGAACAAAGTCCTGAGGTAGAAAATAAGCCAGTAAACACATATATAAATAATATCATTTCAGATAGGATTAAGTTCTTGAAGAAAAAAAAAAAGGATAGTGAGTGGCATACATAAATATGCTGTAGTAAAAAAATCCTCAAAAAGTAAAATATTTAAATTTAAAGAAATACATACACTTACTTAATTCAATGGAATTTAAGTATGTAAGTGTAGACAAATTATAATTTTGATAGCATCTGTGTATGGCATTCAGGATTAGTTTCCATCCAAATGTTTTCTCTTGTTTTTGGCCTTAGATTTAGGGTCAAAAAATCAGCTGACTACTTAGAATTTAATAGGCAGCTACTGGGTATCAGGTTCCTAAGTCAAGCCTGCAGGTTCTTTTCTGAGGGTCAGGTATGTTTTAGGCACTGTGCTGGGTAGGGAGGATGCAAAAATGAGTAAGAAGTGATTTTGTACCTTCAGAGCTCAATGTATGACAGGGTAATTTTACAAAGTCGGCAGAAGTCATGTAAATAGCATGCTTTAAAAAAAAGAAGCTAAAATTAACAATTTTATTATATAATGAAGATTGTCCAGTCATGCTTTTAAAATCTCTGACCTTTTTATACCATTCCATATTTCATTATTTCTTTTGAAGGAAACATGAAGTATTAGAAAATGATACAAATAATTTCAGCAAAGCTTATACACTTCTAAAAGTTTGTGCAGTGTTTATCCTAATATTACATTGTCACATAAACATCTATTTCTGCAATATTAAGATTAGAGTGAAATTCTAATTACCCAAAAATCAGGTTGTGATAGGGCACAGCGAACTCTTCACTGTTAGCAGTTTCCATATTAAATACGCATTTTCTTGAGGTTCTCATTTTTCAATCAGTGAATATATGACCGTCACCTTGAAAAATGGTCAAAAGCACAACTTTTACTAAAAGTTACATTGTAATACTAAGTGTTCATGTTTGGAGCATTTGAGGGAAAAGAAGTGGAACTTGCTTTTTTCTTATTATATTTTCAGTATGTTTCCTTGACTGTTATTAACAAATTTCAATTTTCAGTTTTCTGCCTATTAAAATAGTAGTGGAGAACAAAAAAATCCAAAATTTTTCTTCATGGTAGGTCCTTTATCCCTGTCTCCCCTAGAAAGGTTGGAATGTATTATAAGAGGTCGAATTAACTGTGTTCCTTAAGCATTTGCCAGTCCTGGTCCTGATGTTAATTTTGAGGCATTTTTCCTAGTGAATGTTTTAAACCGTTATTGGAGTCAGCAGTTTTCTAGAACAGAGAACATAAATGTAAAATTTACAATTATGAGTCTGCTCCTAGTCTTCAAATTATACTAATGTAGTTTTACACGTGGAAAATCTAAACGGGGAGGGACTGCACTGGCCATGAGCAGAGTTGGAGACTGCATGCCAGCCTCCGAGCATGTAAACTACTGATGGGTTATGATGAAGTCACTAGATGAAGGAGGGCTGCTGAAGATCCCCTTAGGAACACAGAAGAGGAGGAAGGGAAAGAAATAGAAAGAATGAAATAGTGCTGGTGCTACTGAAAAGCCTAAGTATACACGAGGAGTTCAGGGGTTAGGAGCATGAACTTTGGCATCAGACAGATCTGAGTTGAATTTCTGCCTCTGCACCTCACCACTCATGTGACCTTTAGCAAGTCACCTACCCTCTTTCCTCTTCTATGAAATGAGAATAATCATATGGATTTAAGTCATGCTCTCCATCTACGTGGCACGTGACAGGCTTTCAGTAAAAGCTCGTTATTGTCATTATTTTAATTCAGAGACACTAATAACCCTTTCTTAAAGCAGCAGCCCTGAAAGTGAGTGGAAGCCTGTGGAATTAGGGTATAAAGGATGGTTCTGTTTCTAGATATTCCAGTCCTACTGTTGGAGTAAGCAAGTCAGTTCGGGATGGGGTTTCTCCCCAACATGTTGCCGGTGTGTGGTCCTTCTGGCTTTTCCTTTTTACCAGCCCCATGGGAAAGGAGTCCGTTAGGTAGCAGATGTGGCTTTGCCACAACTGCCACAGCTGTGGTCTTGGCGGAGGGAGCCGTGCGGAGCCGTGGGCTCGCGACGGGCCGCACCCCCAGCACAGCTGACGGGAGCCACACATGAAGCTGGGAAGTTGCTCTGCTCCCAGCACACTCAGGGCCAAGGGAAGGCCCAAAAGAGAGCTGCCAAGGCCCTCGTTCCAGTTCCCAGTGAATTCTGCTGCTTTACCAAATCCCAGGACACGTCTCAAAGTTAACCCTCTCTCGTTCTTGGCCTCTACCCTTTGAAGAGAAGACAGAGAAATGAGAAGTGGACCGGTTTATGTCAGGTAGCCAAGAGCCCAGCCCAGAACAGAATATCCCATGTGATTTCAGCAAACAGGAGTACGACTGCTCTGGTTTTGTCAGAGGCAGCAAAAGAGTCCAAGAACTCCAGAGGGCACAGAAACCAAAGCAGTTCCAAAACCTAGAATTTCAACTGCCCCTCAAGGTTTGCTGATCCAGCCCGTATTCTAATTAAAGGGGGTAAGACTAAATTATGTCTCCTTTTCTACCGAAATGAGCAAAGGCAGGCATAGGAGGGGAAACTTGTGAAGAGAATCTGAGGAAATCCTAAAAGTGGACATGTAGACCTCAGATGGAAATTGCTGTGAGAGAATTTTTATATTTAGGGTACTTGGTATCAATTGCTATTTCAAGTCTCAGCATGTTGCCTGGTTGATTTTAATTTCAAGAATAGAACTCCCGCTCTCTCCTGGCGTCTTCAGTAGCAGGTATGTGCAGATATACCAGATGGACGTTTTGTGAGCTATCACCTAGAAACTGGACAGACTTCACTACCCATTAGAAAGACAAAGAGGTATTTAAACCATGACAAACAGCAGACCATTTTTTTACTTAATCCTTGATATAAGTTATCCTTTGTTGCTTATAGGAATACCATAACAGAAATGTTTGTTTTAATCTCTACTTTATGTTATTATATATTAAGGTATTTTGCCATTCTTGTAATTTGTGAATTAAAACATGATTTGAGGGGTGCCTGGATGGCCCAGGTCATGATCTCAGGGTCCTGGGATCAAGCCCCACATCGGGCTCCCTGCTCAGCGGGAAGCCTGCTTCTCCCCCTCTGCCTCTCCCCCGACTCGTACTCGCTCATGCGCACGTGCGCCCTCTCCCTCTCATAAATAAAATCTTTAAAAAAAAAAAAAAAACATGATTTAAAAGAAGCATGATATAAGGCACTGAGAAAAATTTGAAAAGTCAGCTGAATTTTTTTCTTTAAGATTTTATTTATTTTGACAGACACAGCTAGAGAGGGAACACAAGCAGGGGGAGTGAGGGAGGGAGAAGCAGGCTTCCCGCGGAGCAGGGAGCCCGATGTGGGGCTTGATCCCAGGATCCTGGGATCACAACCCGAGCCGAAGGCAGACACTTAAGGACTGAGCCACCCAGGCGCCCCGAAAGCTGAATTTTTTAGGATACATTAATCCCAAAAGCATATAGTCAAAAGAAAACTTAAGTTGATTCCCCGATTCCTCAATACCCTCTGGTTACCTTAAACTTTTTTCACACTTTAAATGTATTTGGTTTAAAGGGAGACAACATCTGATTGTTCTGGTACACTGTAGTGTACATGATGTGAAATGACCAAGGGAAAGAGGAAAAGGCTGGAGTGGAAAAATGAGCTCAGTAATGAAACACAGACGGCAGAGCTTCCCTGAGCAGTGGAAAGTAATTACAGAGAGCAGCCAAGAGAAAGGGTGAGAACCAAGGAAAGAGAGAAATACTAAAGTTCAGCAGAATATTTTATAGAATATTTTTCCACCTGGGTTCATCTTTTGGGAATAAGAAACACATTAGATATTGTTGACTGCATCCAAATTCTACTTGGGATGGAACACACAGCTCTAAACATATACTGGACACTGTGTATCACACTCAGTGTGTGCTGCTAGGGCAATTCATGAGAGACCAAAGCAATCACATAGTTGAGTGAAATAATGAGTGATTATGCAGTGCTACACCAAACGTGATGCCAAAATGAGGATCACAAATGCAGTTTTAGACTCTAATCCTATCTTAAGACACAACTAAATCTAAACATGAATGTTTTACTTTGTTTTGTTGTGTTGCTAAGTTACTCTGTGCTGCACTTGGAGTTTGGAAGGGCTGTTTTGCAACTTGATGTTTCCTCAAATTGCATTATGTATACAAGTGGCAAGCTTTTATAAAGACCTGTGTGCCACAGTTAAATTTCATAAGCTAGGAAATATAAATGTTATTTCCATATTATATAAATAATTGGCCTTGCATGAGGCATAAATAATCTTTACAAGCTGAATGTTTAATACATAATCACATTAAGAATTCAAACTTATTACTTGTTCTATAGCTTTAAACTCTGTGGATTTGGAATAGAGAAGTAACACACAGCTGAATTAAATTTAAGAAGTGGGTTTGCTTGTGTTTTGTTTTAGCATTAGAAGGTTTCCTGGCTCATTTAAACATTCACTTCCATTATTCCTTCATGTGTTAATAATAAAGTAGATAGAAATGAGCAAGTTAAAAGCAAAGGCAACAAACAGCACTAATGTGCATCAGAGCCTAGAAGTCACAACGATTACTAGGGTTAACTGGCATATTAGTATGATTAAAATTTTGTATGACCTTCATAAATAAGACGTCCAAACTTAACAATCTGAACTTTCAATTGCGTATATCTTTTCAAAAGTGTTTCACTGAATTCTGGGGTTTTTTTCCCCGAATAAAAATGTCAAAATTATACAACTTGTTAGTTTGGTTGCTTTCTAAATGCTCCTGGTCATTTATTGGTTAGTAATATATATTTAGACAATATCATTGTATTATCAAACTAATAATTCTGCCTCCTGAAGATCATGCCTTTCCCTTTGATGTTCAGAAGTGAAACATGGTGTAGGAGTTAAAAAGGTGACAAATTCCTTTTTCTTAAATTTGGGTAAAGATTCTGCAGCAGTATTTGTGTATATGTTTCTAAGCAGCAGTAAAAATCTTGAAAACATTGTAGAAATGTGTAATCTTTAGAGAGTAGTAGGCCAGCCAGTTGACCCTATTTTTTGGAGAGGGAAAAGGAGTCAGGGTTTATCTAAACTAAGCAGAGTCAAATGGTTAGAGTTGAGTAGGACATCTTTTATCTTACACCTCAAATGCAGCCATTACATAAATGAACACGTTGAATATACCAGTGTGCCTGGCACCTTTCAAGCAATAGCATACATTTTTCCTTTGGAGTAATTATATCCTAATACAAAAAGAAAGAGAGGGAGGGAGGGAGGAAGGAAGGAAGGAAAGAAAACCCCACTGCATATGAAAAAAAATTGTTTTTAAAACAATTCTAAGGGATGCTTCATATCCATCTGGTCATTATTATAATTATACCCATATTCAGTGCTATAATAATTTAACATTTTGAGTTTTTACTATGTGCAAAACACAAGACTAAGTGCTTTACACCTATTAACTCATTTAATCTTCATAAGAACCCATGCAAGATTGATTAACTATATGGTTCTATTTTATAGATAAGGAAACTCACTTAGGAGGTTAAGTTACCTGCCTAACGTCACTCATTTATAAGGGACAGGCCTGGTTTACAAACCTCGACTGACTCCAGAGCTAGGGAGGGTCATACAAAGGTAACTAGGGCTCATTTCAGCATTAAGAGCACTGAGGGAAGAAGTTGCTGTGGCTGAGGTCGAGGAGGTTGCTGCCTGTGTTCTCCTTTAGGATTTTGATGGGCTCCTGTCTCACATTTAGGTCTTTCAACCATGGGGCATGGGGTGGCTGGGTGATAGACATTGGGGAGGGTATGTGCTATGGTGAGCGCTGTGAATTGTGCAAGACTGTTGAATCACAGACCTGTACCTCTGAAACAAACAATACATTATATGTTAAAAAAAAAAAAAAGAAGAAGATAGCAGGAAGGGAAAAATGAAGATGGGGAAATCAGAGGGGAAGACGAACCATGAGAGACTATGGACTCAGAAACAAACTGCGGGTTCTAGAGGGGAGGGGGGTGGGGATGGGTTAGCCTGGTGATGGGTATTAAAGAGGGCACGTTCTGCATGGAGCACTGGGTGTTATACGCAAACATTGAATCATGGAACACTGCATCAAAAACTAAAGATGTAATATATGGTGATTAACATAACATAATTAAAAAATAAAAATAAAAAAAGCACTGAGGGACAGGGGAGACTATAGTTAAAAGAGGTATTTGATGGAACCAAAAAAAGGAGGTAAGAGCGTATCAGGCAAAGTATAACCACTTGGAGAAATTTATTGGAGTCAACCAAGGTGTTGGGACCCATAAAAATCATCTTGATGCATGTCTGTGCATACATAATGTCTAGTAAAACAATACTCGTAATGACTAATAGTGATAATTTATGATATCAAGATCTATTTGATATTTGGAAGATAAAGATCATCTTAGGTTGTATCATTTAATCTTTACAACGTCTGTGTGAGACAGATATAGCGTGCCCTGGCTTTTACAGAAGAAGAAACAAAGGCTTAAACAAATTTGGTTATTTGCCCAAAGTCTTAGGAAAGTCAAAACTCAAATCCTGGTTAGAGAAAATTTTTTTATCTGCTTCCCCAAATTCAAGGTTAAAGGCTAAATTTAACTTACATCTTTTTCTAACCACATAAATGATTAGTTGATGTTAACTTCCCTTGTGGTTCCTCTGGGTTTTAAACCACAAGGAAGAGTCTATCCAAATTATATAAATATTTTAATCTATCCAGATTAAAATGATTTGCTTAAGTAGCGCAGCAAATAGTAAGGAAGCCATATCCCATATCACTACAATTTTGAAGCTATTTGTGTAAAACAAAACATAAAATTCCCCTGTCTTTAGTCCCCAAAAGAATCATGGATCTTACATATTCACTTGGTAAAGCAGCTGCGATGATGCATCAGTTGGGTAATTTTAACGGGGGTCTCTTAAGCAAGTCATGTCTAGATTTTTTGTAGCAGGCATAGATTTGGAGGGGTTAGATGAAATTCATTTTCATATTTCAGGCAAGCTTAGGGGGACTTCCAAGTGTTTGCCAAGAGCTTAGCATGAGAGAATTTCCATCATGTGGCCTGAACTTTAGAAAGAACAAATCTGAGTTAGAAATAATCCCCCTCATAATGTTATACACTTCATGTCTCCTTGGAAATTTTCAAGAAAGACAGTGTTTAAATATGATCTCAATAGAAAATACTGTGAATGCTGGAGGAGGTTACATACCTAATGGGATAAGACTCCTTCAGTTTTGTTTCTTTATGACCTCCTCTTTCCATTTGATAGTTCCCAATTCTGTCTGTATCACAGCACTATGTGTCTTTACCTCTTCGGAGTGGTCAGGGCCCCAAAGAAGTCCTGGGGGGAGACCTGGATGGTCCTGCTGACTGGATTCCTGCCCTTCACCGAATCCTACTATGGGGGTTTCTCTGTGTCCCCCCCACCACCGTGCTCCCTTAGTTAGTGAACTCCCTGAGTTCACTCTCAGGTGGAACGAAGCAGTTCCTCCAGACATACAGAACACCTGCACTTCTGTTACCTGTCTATACTGGCAGCTTGGCAAAATGAGGGTCAATGGTAAACTTGGACTATAAAGTGCACCTGAGGGCGGCTTATCCACTGTAAGCTAGAAATCCCTAAGTCTAATCATTCATAATCTGTTTCTCATTTTTCCTCTCTTGCTGTTCCCTCGCCATCGTCAGAATTTAGAAGTACAACTGCTCTCGTTCTGCTGGGATATAAGAGGAGAAAACCATCTATTTTGCTACTCTAGAAGTAATAGGGGAAAAATTAAAAGAAGGGGCTAAAACAAAAAGCCAAAGTAACAATGGTGATTTATTCATGTCATCTGGGTCCTCTAAGTATTACTTTTGTCTGTCCTAGGACAGCATTTATATTAGTTTTTCAATTTGAGAGATAAATTTAAGAGATAAAACTTGAGAGATTAAAATAAAGCTTTTCATTAGATAGGCCCATATCATACAACCCACATATTTTAGGTATCTCACTTCTTCTGTTTTTTAAATCACAATTATGCTCATTTCATGGGAACATGGTAACCTGTGGTCACTTACTCTCCTTGTCATCCCCATGCGTACCTCTCATACAATGCTCATTTCATCATGCTGGTATCCCTTTTAATATATGGTTTTTAGAAGGAATACTACTAACATTTAATTTATATCTATTACTAAAAAGATCTGTCAGAAAACTAAAATCATCTAGTTTGATTTCAGAATTAGCTACAACCAATAGATATTTGACCATGAAAATGGAATTCTCGCAAGACAGTTAATGTCTTTCTGCTATGTCTTATAATTCAGCCATAGCAGATTATAATTAATTCAGTGAGGATTGTCATTTTAAATACCATTCTAGATAAAACAGTAAAGCTTTTTGAGTAGTTCAAAGAAAGACCTAGTCACCCAGTTCCTTAATTAATACAGTTTAGCGAGGAGTTTAATTCAGGGAAAGTACGTTTCTGAGAGGGATTGGTGTCAATACTACTATGGCATATTGGTCTATTAAGACATAATGTCTTATGGAGAACAGGACAACAAACATGGTGCTTAATGGTTAGCTGTTCTGCATGGCAAATCACGTCTTCCTGATGTCTCTGCCAGGGCCGCATCAGTTGTACTGGACGCCTAATGGTACAGGCTGTCAACCAAAGAGGTCGCAGTCCCCGCTCTCCCTCAAGCCATCCTCATGTCAGAAGGTATTTCACATGTTCCTTCCTGTAGGTGTTGCTACTATTTTCAGTTATTACTATAAATTCAACACTATTAGAATCATGGTGTGACCACAAAACGGTGAACATAGAAGACAGAAGAACGCGAATACGGTCTCAAGGTGCATACATTGCCTGGCTCCTTGATTATTCTGCCCCGTTGCAATTCAGAAAAGGGAAAGGAACAGTCACTAAGGTCGCTAAGCCCAGTTAGATACGCTATCACTAATTTGTTAAATAGGGCCCAGTTTGTATCTGAAGAAATCAAGACTCAGCACCTTTAAATGGCAGGTACCTTAACATGAAAATACTAGCAAATGGTACAGAAAGATTCAAAACCAAACTTCTCCAACCAGCAGCTGTCTAGACTAGCCATGACAAATTACTGCCACTACATTTCTTAAAATCAGCTAGTTTGCTAATGTTCACTTTTTAGTCACTTAGTTCAAAACAGTTTAGATGACAATTTTGTAGGTAAGATGTGCCCTACTTGAAATGCTCACAGCAAGTACTTGCTAACAACAGAGTGTGCTTTCTCTTCCTAGTCGCTAGTCGTCTTGAGCTTATGCAAGGATGTTGACGGGGTAATAGTAGGCAGGGACGAGGAAAGGATATCACTTCCTAGTAACTTATTTGCACTTAAGAAAATGTGGTAAGTCACCTAGCATGTCATCTTGGGTTCCTATTTAGATATTTTACAGAGCCTTCTCCAACATCCCTGACTGTAAACTGCAGGCCACAGATGCAAACACTGGTGGTGAAGAGAATGTATGCTAAGTTAGGCTCACAGAAGGTCAGCCAGGAACACTGAGGAAGCACCAAACAAGTGCTCTGTCTATACCTCATGTGACTGGATGCACAGAGCCCTCTGCGAAACACTTTGGAAGACAGTTCTGATACCTAAACACATGGGGGTTTAATACTCTAACTTGTTTGTTCACAAGAACCTAGGCCTGTGTGTACGGCTATAAACAACGTATTGAGTAGCAGATCCAGTCTCTTGCATTATTTTCTTCTGCTTTTCTTGTGTCTCCAATACATTCAAGCTTTTCCATGTGTCAGTGTCTCCTAGAAAAGCATTCTGCTCAGAAATTAGATCTGTACTTGAACAGTAGACTATATAAAAAAGCTGGCAATTATTAGCCTGTTATAGTGGTCTTTCATTTGCTCTACTCTTTTTCTAGTTAAATGTTTTTAAACTTTTCTTCTAGTGATTAGTGACAGAATTTATGTTCAAGATCTCATTCCTTCCTTACATCTTCCCTGCAATTACTTTAAATTGGTGTTGCTCTGAAAGGTGCCTCTAGCAACATACTCAAAAGCAAGAGAGATGCACAAAATCTGGGAGATTTACACAATTTTAATTTAAAGCTAAAAAATATAATTTGTTTTCCTGGTTTATATGAAAAGGAATTTTGATTAGAAAGATACGAAATTTTTACAAAATAATAAATTTTAATTTCCTATAAATTTCAAATCACAGTGGAAAGTTATACTTTCTGTTGGAAAAGATTTGGTAATAAATGAGGAACAGCTGCTGCTACTTCTCATACAGCTTTCAAAAATATTTATTTAGGAAAAAACAGGTTAATATAGAGTACTTCATTTTTTCCCATTTCCCTTTTATGATGTATATTCGCTTTAAGGAGTAAGATAGCAGAATTATTTAAGTTCTGAAATTAGCAGACTATTAAATTCATAATAAACTTTTAAATGAAACAAGATTTTGCTAACTTTTCTGACTTTATGTGTAAACTTTAGGAGTCGTAATCAGGTAAAGAAATTATATTATTACTCCATGTATTATTAAAAAATCAAGAGCCTGAAAATAACTTCTATCTTCCTCCCTCCCCCTACGCCTTTGTCCTTGCCTTTCCTTCCATCTTTCTATCTGTTTATTATCTGCCTTGTCCTAAGGCCTCGTTCTAGATCAAGGGACAGTGGAGATGAAAATGAACCAATTCAAGAGCGGTTCTTCAGACCTCACTTCTTGCAGGCTCCTGGAGATCTAACCGTTCAAGAAGGAAAACTCTGCCGAATGGATTGTAAAGTAAGAGTTTCTTACTGCCTTCAGATCTCTTGCCTCCCTTCCCCCCCCTTACTGCCGTTTCTCTTGAGTTCCTTTTAGGGAAATTATGTAAGGTGTACGTCTTTAAAATGTTTCCAGCCTACAAGAAAAAAAAAAGGAGTGACATATACTGGATGTTTATATACTGTTCTGTCATTCTTTTCCTTTTAAATTTTTATTAAATGTGTTCTTTATTTAGAACACCACATACCGTACTGTACACAGTCACTGGGAGGTTTTTTCCCCCTTTAAGTTTCCCATTTTGTTGAAGTGATAAATGTGTTAAATCTGCCATGTCCTAATAATTCATTTATCTTCATTCTTTTTTCATATAAATTTTGTAGCCGTATATCTACTCTTTTATTCCCCCCCTTCTAAGAGCAGTTAGAGTGACATCCTTCTCTTACCCGTTTCACAGCAGGGCAGCCTAACCCAGGGCCTCTGGGTGGTAGGCAGGTTTCATTAGGTGTGAGTTCTGAAATTGTATACAAAATTATGTGTATGATACAGCTTTCATCAATTTCTAGAAGGAACTCGAGACCAGAAATGTTTAATAACCACTGCTGTGAAATTTTTTTGGATTGTTTTGGTTTTTTGCCCCATTATTTATTGATCATAAATTTTAGTTCTTAAATATGGTCAAGGTTTTTAAAATTTGGGCTCCCTCTGCTGTTTCTCTCTGGGATTGCAGAACACACATATAAGCCTTGGAGGATTAAAATTGGGTTTATAGAAATGTATTAAAAAAAAGTACTCTTGGGGCACCTGGGTGGCTCAGTTGGTTAAGCAGCTGCCTTTGCCTTGGGTCATGATCCCAGGGTCCTGGGATCGAGCCCCGCGTCAGGCTCCTTGCTCAGCAGGGAGCCAGCTTCTCGCTCTCCCACTCCCCCTGACAGAGAAAGACACAGCGAGAGAGGGAACACAAGAAGGGAACACATTTAGGCTTTAAGAAGAAAAAAAAATCATGAAAATAAACCTATCACTAAAGCAACAGACAGATTTTCCCCCCAAAAAGCACTCCCCTGCCTTTTAAACCCGTTAGGTATCCTAGATGCTGACTACCCTTGACTTGGTACTAAGTGAAAAGGGAAAATAATCCAACTCCACTAGTAACAAATCTGCTCATCTGCCTCCTCCCATTTCCATATCGTCAGCTGAGAGCATGCTTCTGTTCAAGTTATGACCTGCTTACAATGACCTTAGATTCCTGAAATTGGGCTTGCTTTCTTTACACAACCAGAAGGGCTGGGATTCAAATAGGGGTAGAAGAACGGGCATTTTCCCTTTGCCTTAATGTGATTAACTCTGTCCATGGCACAGATGCACTGTGAATTAGGTGGGCTGAGTGATGCTCCTACTACACACACCATGGCCTTGTTCAGGGTTTAACCGAGCAAGATGGCAACAAGCAGTGCCACTTTACTTCCAAACCCGGGTAAGGCCTGGAGCCCAACCAGAGGTGTGCATGCCCTCTTCCTCCATACCACCTCTAGGGGTCTCCAGGTAGGGAGAGCAGTGAATGTGGGGCTGGGGGGAAGCCAGTACACAGAGGGGAGGACAGAGAGGCAGACCATCCCAATAGCCAAGCCAACTACTGCTGTCTTTGTTTCCAAAGTGTCTTCATCCTTTTAACCAGTAATTTAAGTTTATTTTTTCTCCCTTAAATTCTCTAGACCTTTGTTACATGTATGGAGAGAGGCATCTTGTAGGTAATATAAATGAATATCACACAGCAAGAATGGAATTTGGCAGAGTGAGGTTTTCAAAAGAATTACTTTACAGTCCAACCGACAGACATCTTTTTGTATGCAATTTCCCACTAGTAAATTTGGGATGGTGGTAAGAAAAAAGCTATCCTTAACAGTGCTTTTCTTCCCTTTCACAATCAAGGGCAAAACGATAAAGAGCTGACAGATGGCAACCATCCGGACCCTTCACAGCACAATGTGCTATTAGCAATTAAATGTGCTTTATCTGATCTCTGGTCAACACAACTGTTGTGGTCTCAGGATTTTATGTTTCCATTGTGATGCTAATTTGTAGAGATGGCTTCTGGGTAATTTACTATTGGTCTTGTTGCTTCATTTCAAGGATTATAAGATAGTAATAATAGCTCCATGTGCTGATGGATGCATCAACTGATGTCTCCAGAGCTACAGGCAACCCTTTGAAAACAAGCTTTATAGTGTATACATACCAGCTGAGTATGCGCTATTGTTATTGCGATTGGATACCTTTCCAAAGAGCTCAGAGCCCTGTGCTGACATCAGCCCAGTCGTCTTTAGAACCCTGGTGAGGTAAGACAAGAAGAGAAATTTTTTAAAATCCCCACTTTACTTTTCTCTAGGTTGCTCTACAAGAGATGTTTAGAAGTGAGGCCATGCTTGCTTAGGAAGCCATTGAAAGGTTGAAACAAAAGAGCAACATGAGCTGACACCAAAAGCCATCTCTTGTACTACCGAAGGAGGAATTCATGGTGGTTTCCTAGCTGTTACTGATTTCGTTTTGTTTCAGTATTAGAGAAATTTATATGCTCCTTTCTGGTTTAGGTCAGTGGGTTACCAACCCCAGATCTAAGCTGGCAACTAGATGGAAAACCTATACGCCCCGACAGTGCTCACAAGATGCTCGTGCGTGAGAACGGGGTGCACTCACTGATCATAGAGCCAGTCACCTCACGAGACGCCGGCATCTACACGTGTATAGCCACCAACCGAGCAGGACAAAACTCATTCAGCCTGGAGCTTGTGGTTGCTGGTAAGCAAGTCTGTGAAATCTTTCTCTCAGAATGAATTATCAGATTCAAAAATGTAAATTAATCCTGCATTATTAACCAATATGGAAAATAAATCAAACTGCTGAAAAAATAGATGGTATCATCAAAATAGCCAATTAGGACATAAGGCTTATTAGCAAATCAGAAACATTAATTTTTTTCAGTGTAGCTATCATTATTATGTTTCCTTTCTCCCATTAGCCTGGCCAAGAGAGGAGTTTAGCAGCTGTTCTGGGTCGTTCTATTCCTCATGTGTGTGTTGGCCTCCAATGTTACAGAGAAAGAGCAATGGTATCATAGATTCCAAAACCAAACTTGATATATAAGAATTTGCTCATGCATTTAAGAATTTGCTCATGCTCAAAAGTTCTACCTACTTTTTAAAGTAACGTGCAGTTGGTGTCAAAATTCAAAAATTTGAAATATTATCATCTACCTCCAATGTCATGGTCAAATTCAGATTTGCTTTTTAATGAATTACACTTTCAGGTAAATTTTGTAAAATTACATAATATTATATAAAGTCTTACCCTTAGATAAGGAAGGTTTATAATATCCTTAGGAACTGAGCATAAGTAAGAGTCTGTTATCTGTTCTCTTTTTAAAAAGAATGTTTATTTCTCATACCCCTGTTTGCAAAGTGTTTCATTTACATTATCTCAGCTGGTCCTCACAAACACCCTCAAAGATAATTGGAGCAAATTTTCTTCATTTTACAGGTGTGGAAGTTAGAGTAACTGACTTTCCCAGGGCCCTATTTAGTGAACTGAGGGCCAGAGGCCAGACTCAGTCTGTTGACTCCTAGTGCTCTTCCCCACACTGTGAGCCACTGAGCTCTTTCAAGAAATAGAGTAGCCATGAGAATAAAGTCCAGGAGGTCCTGGCTAAAGTCCTGGATAATGATTCTAATAAAAGTACCAGGACATTTTTCACACAAAAATGTCAGAAATACCCAGGCTGTCATGCTGTGTGTTAACCATGCTTTCAAATTTACATCAGGCCTTTGATATTCCTACACAACTAGGATCAATTTCATCCAACCCTCTAAACATCCCTCCTCCAGCTAAAACTGTTCAGCATTCTGCTGTTGCATGTTCCCTTGGATCCTGTCTGCCCTTTCAGGACTGAGACATGAAGGTCTAAGAGACACAGGCATCTTGGTCTGCGCTCAGTCAGCACTTGCATGGGAAAGGTGGGCAGAGGGCACTATAAGTAGAAGCCTCACATCTTTGGCATCAGCCCTCAGTTCCGAGCCCAGCTGTCATGGATCAGCTACGTCCTTTGGCAAATATAGAACATCTCTGCAGCTCACTTCCCTCATATGTAAAATAGGTGCCGTGAGGTGTCACCGAGTCTTTGTAAGGACTGTCATTTTATAAGGATTAAATCGTATGAAGCTCTACATCACCACCAGTGCCCTGCATAGCAGTGCTCCCAAATGGTGGGTGTGATTCTACTGGAGATTGCTTTGACATTAAGGTTCATCTTACACCTTTTATGCTCTTCTCAAAACTGGGATCCAGAAAGAATATTAATTGAGTTCCCACTTCCTCCGAAATAGCCTGGGTCAGGAAACCATGTGAAATACAATAAAAGTATAACCCTCAACATCATTCAAAGTCTTAGAGAGTCTTAGGTATTTGAAATTTTCAGGTACAGTTTTTATCCTCTTACCAGTTTTGCTTTGATATACCTGTCACTCCAAGGAGAGGGTGGTGGATAGAGACATGTATCCTCAAATGCATTATTGGTAGCTTAGAAGAAAATAATTAAACTTTATTCTTTCTCTGAAATTGTTTCCACCACAGATCTATGAAAACAATTTCCTATCAGATAGTAATATTCAGAGAGTTATTAACAAAATAGTTCTGATTTTTTCAGACTAAGTAATAAAGTTGTCTCTTTTATGGCTTCCTTCCTTCAGGGTAATAAAAAGTCATCTTTTTATAGCTTCCTTCAAAGAATACAAATTGGAATTCGTAATTTATAGGATGTACACTCCTACTTTATAAGTAATTTAAAGCTGCCAAATTTAGATAAAGATGTCCCCCCACTCTTTTCCTCCTTTAAATCCTATGGTATGTCTCACTTAAGCCAAGACTTACAAATCTTCAGAATCTCCATAGCAAACATTTCGGACAGCAAGGAGGGCATCTGAGTGGATCAAATTCCTAGAAATACTTGCTCTCCTCAGAGTCACTAGGTGGCAGTGGTTGGTAAAGGCTGTGAGTGCTTGGTCACATAATTAGTAATGAAGCCATCCCAGATGCTAGCAATGACTTAGGAGTGTCACGCAGCCTGTCAGACAGGCATTCTGTGGAGCAGATGGCCAGTGGACTGTGTGGGCCTGTCAGACTTGAATTAATTGACAAAATAAATGAGTGGAATGAAGCATAGGAACCTTTCTTGGGAGAGAGGACTAGCATCTTACCACCTGAAGTGAAAAATTGTATCATAAAATAAAAGATCCATTTAAACAATGTTTCTAAAAGCTTCAGAATTCTTTATAGGGCTATCTTTGTATATCACTGATCGATAATTCATCTCCTGTTTCCTTAGCTAAAGAAGCACACAAACCTCCCGTGTTTATCGAGAAGCTGCAAAACACAGGAGTTGCTGATGGGTACCCAGTGCGACTGGAATGCCGTGTTTCAGGAGTGCCACCGCCTCAGATATTTTGGAAGAAAGAAAATGAATCACTCACTCACAGCACTGACCGAGTGAGGTGAGAACACACAATGACTTAGTCCACATCTGTTCATTAGGTCCTAAGGATACATAAAAAGATGCTCTTTATATAGCACATAAATTTGCGTACGAGTCATGCTATTGATGATGTTGAGGACAAAAATCACTCTTTACCCTCATGTATAATTAAGCCTCTGGAAGGAAGCTCTAATGGTATGTGATGAAGCACATTTTAACTTAATTTCCTGGTGATTTTTTTTTAAGTGTTTATATCTAGAAAAAAAGATGAATTCATTTGCTTCAGTGGTGATACAGAAACTATATTCAGTGGGTTTTGTAAAGGCTGATCCTCCACTAAAAATTAAGTGCGCACATTTATTCAACCTCTTGATGTCTGCTCTTCTCTCCCATTAACTTTAATGGGGCTAGCAGCCTTTCCAGAATAAGTATGACCCTATTATCCGCTACTTGCACAATTCTGTTTCTGATGATCTAATTAAAAATGATACTTCATGTCCAAAGCCACTTTTTAAAAATTTAGAACCCTAATGACTTTATCCGTTTCTCCAGCATGCACCAGGATAATCATGGCTACATCTGCCTGCTCATTCAGGGGGCCACAAAAGAAGATGCTGGGTGGTATACAGTGTCAGCCAAGAATGAAGCTGGGATTGTGTCCTGTACTGCCAGGCTGGATGTTTACAGTGAGTGCGACTTCATCTGATCTCATTGCAGTTATTCATTAAATCATGAAAAAGTAGACATCTAGACAGCAAATCACATTATTTTTATATAAGCTTATAAACAACTGCAGTGTTTTATTTGCCCCAAATTTCATATTGCTCTTTCTCTTTCTATTTATAGTTTCTCAACATTAATAGTGAACTACACCAGGAGAACAAATACCCAAGTATCATTCAGGAACTTTGCATTATTAGCAAAATATGCATGTTGATTTCTCTTATGTTGGCTAGTCAGTTGTGGCTTCCTTACTCAAGCATCCCTTGGAGTTAACAGTAGGCAAAGGCATAACCACGTTTTTCACATTTTCTTGTTACTGTGTCCTGCAAATGACTGCCTTTTAACATTTCTTCCTATATTATAATCCTATCACAGTGTCTTAATGCACTCTAAATGTGTGTACCATTGATCCTGGAATGCATCCTTTCTGTGGCTTAGCGCTTTTCTCTTTAATATCCCTTAAGCAGCTCAGCAATAGGTTTGTGTGTTTGTGTATGTATATTTGTGTACATGCATCTTAAATTTAAAGAAACTTGTTTCTGTTGAATTCTCAGACTAGTACAGTAGCATTATATGATCTATTGACATAAAGAAAACCACTAGAAAAAAATTAAGAACTGATTTCAAATTTCACCTCTTGTTGAATAGGAAATAATTTTGTAAGGTTCTTCAAGTATTGAGTGACCTCAGCCTTCCCAACTGCCCACTTCTTTTCAATTGATTAGTGCTGAAACATCCATCCCAAATACCTAAATACTCTAATTAGGACATGTGTACATTTTGTGCTTTGAAGATGTTTTTTAAAGAGAGGGAGAGGTGAGAATTTGGAAGCTGAGAGACTGTTTTGAAGGATTTCCTGTGCTGCAGTATTTACTTTAAAAGAAGCTACACTTCTTTACTACCTAGCTGTTATAGTCCCACTACCCTGGATAGACAGTAAATCTGCAACACATAAGGAAAATGTAAAACTGTGCTTACATTTTAGGATTTCTACCATGCCAAAGAACATGTGCCTGGTATATATCAAAAGACAAATTTCTATTTACTTGAAACATTTAACTGCTTTCCAGTGACATCTTGGGTTTTTTTAATCTTATTTTTATTTTTCTCCTTTTTTATTGTAGCCCAGTGGCATCAGCAGCCACAGAGCACCAAGCCAAAAAAAGTACGGCCCTCAGCCAGTCGCTATGCAGCACTTTCGGACCAGGGACTAGACATTAAAGCAGCGTTCCAACCTGAAGCCAGCCCATCTCACCTGACACTGAATACCGGCTTGGTAGAAAGTGAGGACCTGTAATCCAACATTCTTGTTAACGCTCAAACACTGAAACAGCCATTGCCTTGACCAACATACTCCTTTTTCACATTATGTAATGGGCAAAACATACCTTTGACTATAAGAAATAAACACCAAAATAATATTTTTCTTACTTGATATACCAAACTTAGAGTTTAAATAGGTGATGCTCATAAGAAATGTACACATTGCACAGAAAATTTACATTCATCATCCAACTTAGAACTTGTGGAATTTCTGTGATGAAAGCGATCTGAAATGCCAAAATGCTAATGGAGATCAACTGTTCAAAGGTAACCAGAATTTGTATTCTCCAAAGTGCCTTGAACACTAGCTGTAGGTGCTACACGACATGACAGTGTGGAATGCTTAACAGGAGGCAAATATACCACAAATAATACTAAAACGATTCTAAGTGGGCAGTGTGTTCAGACAGCTACAGTGAACCAAGTGCAATATATAGGGATGAAAAGGAAGAGGGAATGACAAATCCAAGTAAATGCCTTGTTTTTGCAAAATTGTTTTATATTAAATCACAAGGAAGGAATTACTTGCCTTAAATTTTATTAGTATCGAGAGTTTTCTAACAAGGTTAATACCTTAGTTCTTAACCACCTTTTTCTATATGTGTAGTATTTTCTTTTCATGCTACCTTGGTAGGAAGCTTACTTACAAACCATATTAAAAGGCTAATTTAAATATAAATAATATAAAGTATTCCGAATAAAGCAGAACTGTATTACAGCCCATTCCACAAAAGACATCCAAATCCCCCAAATGACCAAGGCGTATGGTATTCAGAGGAAAGAGGGGTCTGGAAGGAGTAGGAAGAATGAAGGAAAATGCTACCAGCACACTTGTACTCATTTAGATAAAAGTAAAGTAGAAGGGGCAGGAGACAGGGTGAAGGCAGGCTTTTCTTTGGTTTTCCTCAAAAGTAACCTAAAGTGTAGGTGAAAATACACTGCCATTCAGAAGTCAGGGGATCTAGGGTCAGCTGGAGACTGGAGCGCATGTGCCGTGGAAGTTCCAGTGTGTCTGAAGTCTGTGTAGTCGCTGAAGAGGTTAGCTGTGTCGAGTAAGTGGAAATGGACTGAGATTGCAAGATTGGCGTCAATGAGAAACTGCCTGGAGGAGCTAGTCTGCTGGAGGGAAACGGAGACTTGGTTGAGACAAAAACAGGTTTGTGCCATAATTAATTTTTTTCCAATGGCACCATGATATGGTGAATGGAAAATACGAGTTCACTTCCATGCTGCCATGCAACCTTGCCTTAAGAAGGTGCTGGGTTCCGGGTAGTTTGTAAAGGCATCTCTGCGAAGACTGATTTTTGAATGCATATGATCCTGCAACAGCTAGATTGACACGATTCTGACCAGACTTGATGGTTTTAAGTCGGAACCAATAAACTTTAAAAAGGGGAAAAAAAACAATTTGGCCAGATATTATATTATAAAACATGAGGTTTTAATGGTACTTTGCTATGAAAAGAAAACACTGTATTCCTTATGCAAAACACATACATCTTTCATTATTTATAATAAAAATGTTGACCTGTCTTAGCTCAGTTAATTCAATACGTAGTATTTTTTAAAATAATTTTATATCTGTGTACCACCCCATATATTTCATATTACTGCTTCACGTGTACAGCTTTCTACTTTCTAAGAACACCAACCAAGTTTTAAATGATTAATAGGCTTGATCACTGGGTGGCAGATGTTCTTTGCAGAGTGGTGCAAGTTTCTTTGACCACACTTATATGCGTTGCTAATATGGAATTTAAGATACAATACAAAGTCTTTCATGGACCTGTCTATATCGTAGAATTATGACTTAACGTCATATCTTACTTGCCAAATTTTTCTGAATGTGACTGCTAATTTGCTGGGTTTGGGATTAAGTAGCATTACTTGCCACCTTTTATGTTGTATTTATAAAAAAAGTACTATCATACTACTTTTTGGATTGTTGTGCTGGTGTAATGTGGATTTAACATCAATAAATATTTAACAAATAATAGTTGCAATTTTGTGAAGCAAAATATTCCATTGTTTTAGTTTTCTATTGCTGCTGTCATAAATTAGTACAAACTTAGAAGCTTAAAATAACATTTATTAGCTCACAGTTCTATGCGTCGGAAGGGCTGGGTTCTGCGCTCAAAGTCTTATAAGGCTAACTAACATTAGCACGCACATCCATTGGACTACATTCTCATCTGGAGCACTTCCAAGTTCAAGTAGTTGTGACAAAATTTATTTCCTTGCAGTTGTAGGATGGAGGCCTCAATGTAATCTGTCAGCTAGGGGCCACTCTCAACTCCTACAGGCCACCTGCAGTCCTTGCCATGTCCTCCCCTTCATCTTCAAAACCAACAAAAAGAATCTTCCTCAGAATGGATCCCTCTCATGCCTTGATCTTGTCAGAAGCCCAGGCCCTTCTAAGGCATCACCTGATTAGGTCAAGACCAAGTGAATACCCCTCTTTCTTAAAATCACCTGATTTTTTTAATCTAATTAAAATCCCTCCAAAGCAACACCTAAATCTGTGTTTGATTGGATAACTGAGAGAAGGTGTGTAGACACCAGGAGGTGGGAATCCTGGGAGCCATCTCAGAATTCTGCCTATATGCATGTAAATAATGCTGGTTCCTGTGATGCCCCAGGGGGAAGTATTCTGTGACCACAAAGCATATGCCCTCTCTTGGCATCTATGAAATTAGGGTTCTGGTTCAAGATGGTGACACAGGATCCTGAACACACCTCCTCCCACAGACACACCAAATCAACAACATACCTAACAATTTAATTTCTTCTAAACCTACAATCAGGAGGGAACTCAAAACCCCGGGCTTCAGCCTCAGGACCAAAGGATTTGAACCCCACATGAGCACCCCAACTTTTAAGAATGCACCTGAGAGATAAGCCCCCAAAACATCTAGCTTCAGAAGCCAAAGGGGCTTACATCCACAAGACCCACAAGGCTATAGCAATCTGACAAATAGTTCTTAAAAGGCTCCCACGGGGTTGCCTACCCTAGGGACCAGTCTTTCTGTGAAAGAAGCCTATTTGCTTATCTTAAAGCTTCAGCCTGAGGGGTAGACACCTAATTTAACGAACATCTAGGGGTATACTGAAATAATCTCCGAAGACTGAGGCTGGTGAGTACCAACGTTCTCCGTGCTCATCCCCTGCCTCACCCCGGGTCACCAGTATCTCCCAGAAAGAAGCTTGTGCAAATGTCTGGCACCCTGGTTTCTGCAGCTGCCACCCAGGAGACACCCATTGATTGCCTGGCTGGGGTGGCTCGTGGAGGCAGGTCCCCTGGGACTAACAGAGAAGGCGTTCTTAACCACCTACTGCCCGAGGGCAGAGCAGGGACAGAATGAAAGTCTGCGAGAGGACTATTTGCTTATCCTTAGAGCTGGAGGCCGAGGGCAGGCTTCTAATGAAACACACATCTAAGGGCCAACTTGAATCCTCTCCAGAGGCCTCCAGGGCCAGTCCCTATCTTCACACTCTCCCTCTGCCTCACTCCAGGTTGCTGCTATCTCCCCAAAGGGAGCTTGTGCAAATGTCTGATGCCCTGGTTTTTGCAGGTGCTGCCCAGCAGACACCCCCTGACAGCCTGGCTCTGGGACCAGAGGATTTATGTTCATGAGTCCCATAAGACTGTAATGGAGAAACAGTTCGTAACCAGCTTTCCCCCACCCAAGACACAACAGAGAGGCAGCAGACTGAAAGGCCTTGCCAGGTCTCTCTGAAAGAGGACGACTGGCTTGTCTTCATAGCTGTGCCCTGAGGGGAGGCTTGTCATTAAATACACTTCTAGGGGCTGACTACAATGCCCTCCAGAGACCCAGAAGACCAGCAAGGCACCATCTTCAAGCTCTCCCTCCACCCCACCTCAGTTCACCGGGATGTCCACGAAAGGAGCTTGTATCTACATCTGGTACCCCTGCTTTCCTGGCTTCTTTCCGGCAGGCACGTCCCTTGACAGCCTGGCCCTGGTGGCCAGCAGGGCTTGTGTTCGTGGGCTCAACAGAATGGTAGCAAAGAAACAGCTCCTAACTGGCTATAACCCCAGGTTTTGGTGCAGAGGCAGCAGATATACCCTCCTCCCGGTCTTCCCCTGAAAGAAGTATATTTGCATACTTTAAATGTCGCTAAGAATCTGGCTTCCAAACAGCCTGAATCTAGGTGCCGACTGAGGTTCTCCATTTGGCATAATGACAGGTCTTGGCACAGCCTCAACTACTAGGAGCCACTAAAGATGAAGTAGGCTGCTTGGACAATAACAGAAGTTTGAGCTAGGGCTGGATTGGACAATAAAATTCATCTCCTACACAAGGCTACTCCCTCAAGACTGGGATAGGTGGCTATTTTACCCAAAGCAAAAAACCAACAGAGTGTCAAGGAAAATGAACAAACATAGAAATACATTCTAAAGGACAGAACAAGATAAAACATCAGAAAAAAGACCTTAATGTAATGGAAATAAGTGACTTACCTATTAAGAGTTTAAAATAATATTCATAAAGATGCTCACCAAGCTCAGGAAAAGAATGAATGAACAAAGTGTGAACTTCCAACAAGGAGAAAGAAAATATAAGTCAGTACCAAACAGAAGTCACAGAGCTGAAGAATACAATAACTGACCTGAAAAATATAATAGAGTGGCTCAACAGCAGACTAGAGGGAAAAAATTAGAGATGATGGGAAAAAAGACTAGATGAAGGAAAAAGGATCAATGAACTTGAGGATAGAGCACAGGAACTCATTCAATCACAGCAGCAAAAAGAAAAATGAGGAGAGTGAAGATAGCTTAAGGGACTCGTGAGACAACATCAAGCTGATCAACATTTGCAGTATAGGAGTCTCAGAGGAAAAAAGAGAAAGAGAAAATTTATTTCAAGAACTAAGCGCTGAAAACTGGGGAGGGAAACAGATATCCAAATGCAAGAAGCCCACAGAGTTCCAAAAAAGATGAACTCAAGGAGACCCACACCAAAACACATTATAATTAAAGTGTCAAAAGTTAAAGACAAAGAAAAAAAAATCTTAAAAGCAGCAAGAGAAAAAGAACTTGTTACATACAAGGGAAGCCCCATAAGACTATCAGCAGATTTTTCAGCAAAAACTTTGCAGAGGAACTGGCATGATACATTCAAAGTGTTGAAAGAAAAAAAAAAGTCCAATCAAAACTATACTACCCAGTTACCATTCAGAACTGAAGGAAAGATAAAAGAGTTTTCCAGACAAAAGTTAAAGTTTGTCACCATTAAACCAACCTTACAAGAAAGGTTAAAGGGACTTCCTTAAGGTAAAAAGAAATGGCACTAATTAGTTGCAGGAAAACATATGAAAGTATGAATCTCATTGGCAGAGGTAAATATATAGTAAAAGTAGCTTTATAAAGCTAGAATGGAGGTTAAAAGACAAAAGTAATAAAATAACTAACAACAATAATTAGTTAAGGGACACACAAGATAAAAAGGTATAAACTGTGACATGAAAAACATAAAAAGGGTGTGGTAGAGTAAAAAAGTCAGCTTTAGAATGTGTGCAAATTTAAGTCGTTACCAACTTAAAATAGACTTATCAACATAAGTTGTTTTATGTAAGCCTGATGGTACCCACAAAGCAGAAACCAATAGTAGACACACAAAAGCTAAAGGAATCTAAACATACCACTACGGAAAATCATCAAATCACGAAGGAAAAGGGCAAGAGAAGGGAAAGAGAACTACTAAACAACCAGAACAAATTAACAAAATGACAATTAGTACATACTTATCAATAAATACTTTAAATGAAAAGGGACTAAATTATCCAACAAAAAGACAGAGTGGCTGAATAGATAAAAACCAAGACCTATCTGTATGCCTTCTACAAGAGACTTCAGATGTAAGAACACACACACACTGAAAGTGAAGGGATGGAAAAAGACATTCCATGAAAATGGCAACCAAAGGAAAGGTGGGGTAGATGAAAGTCTTTTTTTCTGATATTAGTTAAGACAGTAATGAGACAAAAAAGGTCATTATAAATAATAAAGGGGTCAATCCAACAAGGGGATATAATATTTGCAAATATTTATGCACCCAACACAGGATCACCTACAGATATAAAGCAAATATTAATGCAAATATAAAAGCAAATATTAGATCTAAAGGGAGAAATGTATAGCAATATAATAATAGCAAAGGACTTTAATACCCCACTTTCATCAATGGATAAATCATCCAGATAGAAAATGAGGAAACAGTGGCCTTAAACAATACATTAGACCAGATGGACTTAAAAGACATATACAGAACATTCTATCCAAAAGTAACAGAACACATTCTCAAGCACACATGGAACATTTTCCAGAGCAGATCACAGGTTGGGCCACAAAACAAGTCTTAATAAATTTAAGAAGATTAAAATCATATCAAGCATCTTTTCTGACCACAATGGTAAGACACTAGAAATCAATTACAAAAAGGAAACTGGAAAATTCACGAGTATGTGGAGATTAAACAGCATACTGAACAACCAATGGGTCAAAGAGGAAATCAAAAGAAAAATAAAAAAATACCTTGATGAATAAAAATGGAAATATATCAAAACTTATGGAATGCAGCAAAAGCAGTTCTAAGAGGGAAATTCATAACAATAAATGACTACATTAACAAACAAGAAATATCTCAACCAACCTAATTTATACATCAAGGAACTAGAAAAAGAAGAACAAACATGCCCAAAGTTAGTAGAAGGAGAGAAATGACAAAGAGCAGAGCAAAAATAAATACAGACCAAAAAAAAAGGGGGGGGGGCAATAGAAAAGATCAATGAAAAGAAGAGCTGGTTTTTTTGAAAAGATAAACAAAATAGACTTACAAGGAAAGCAAGAGGACTCAAATGAATAAAATAAGAAATGAAAGAGGAGAGAGACATCAGTGCTAATACCACAGAAATACAAAGAATCAGAAGAGACTACTATGAACAATTATATACTAACAAATTGGACAACCTAGAAGAACTAGGTATATTCTTAGAAAC